AGCCCGAGGACATCCGCGAACTCCACATTCACATGCATGCATTCGTCAACCCCACGCAAAACAACAAAACGGAAGAAAAAATATTGTTTATTTTTTAAAGAGAAGAGTCATCGGCTGGTAGGTAGACCGCCCGACACCGCCATAGGGTGGTTTTGATCACTCGATTTACATTTTTCACAAACCCGTTCGATTGTGACATATGGGGAGCAGTGTTCTGGATGGAGACACCATGTACGAGCAGGCTCCTCAAAACCTCTTCTCGGAACTCTGCTCCGTTGTCCGTTAAGATTTCCTCGGTATCCTGATGCATTCCGAGGAAACGGTTGACGTGTCGCACAATTTTCGTCGCCTATCTCGTTTTACATGGGTAAGCCTCAATCCATTTGGAAAAGTGGTTTACCAATACCAGTACGACCAAATATTCGCTACTATTAGGATCAGGGGGAACCACGATGTCCGTCGTATCCATGCTAACCGTTTGGAACGGTCATTCGACTAAAGTGGGAACGATGGATTTAGGCGGCTGGATCGGCGCCTTGTCGCCCGAACAAACCGGACTATTTTTAACTATGAATTTAAAGTCGTCTCTAATTCTGGACCAGTACCACTCATTCTTGTCGATAATCGACTCTGTAATTGGGACAACAAAATGGGCGGCTATCTCTTCGTGGGCCGTCCTCACCCAGTCATATTGCATAAAGGGGTGTGGTATGACAATCCAATGTCTTTCGCTTTTCTAGCCTTTCCACGTTCCATCGATAATCCCTCGTCTGTTCATTGGCCCATCTGCGATCCTCCTTTGAATATTCTCGGAGAGGGTTCCCTACAACTATCGCTATCAATACGACATATGTCCAGACCTCGGCGCGCTGAAAACTACGCGTCGTTTTCGGTCCTTCCAAGGTGACTTCGCGGAATCGAGCCTCTGTCGAAATCTTGTCGGCCTGACACAAGGGGCCCAACCATATCTTCTGCGTGTTCCTATACTGAATGCAAGACCCATGGTTCCGCAGACCACCACATAGCATTCTCCTTGGGGCGTTGAGTTGTTACGTCGACCATCCGGCACCGTTCGAGATACGTACTCATCCGGAACGATAGTCGCGAACACCTCATCGAGTACGCGTCACGAACAGTGTCGTATGAACGAAGGAATGATTCAGCACCTCAAGGCAAATGCTATGCAGTAGTTTGGGGAATTCAGCACTTCCATCCGTATCTCTACGGACAGAAGTTCCGCCTTGTGACAGATCACGAGCCCCTGCTGGCCTTGAAGAAGCTCACTAATTACACGGGCATGATTGGACGATGGGCGGTGCGCCTACAGGAATACGACTTCGACATCATCCATCGAAAGATGGAGAGACACGGCAACGCGGACGGACTGACACGTCTGCATCGGCCCGCTAAAGTACCTAAGGGCGAGGAAATCACTCTGTGGAAGGAGTCAGAACTGGCGAACGGGCCTACGTACGGATAAGTGACAGTTCTCCCACGTGGCAAGAAGCAGATTAGTGGCAATCGGTGACGGAGGTAACCCCGTAACCCCTCTTTCTCCCCTCTCCTCTCATCTCTTCTTTCCCTGGCTGATAAATTTTGCTATTTTTGCGAAGCAATCTTTCGCGTGTATTCGATCCCCATGTGTCCTAACGGGGAAGGCTATGCAGAATGGGTAGATTGTCGGCAATGTGTCGCACGTGCATCCAATACAGAAATGGCGGTAAGCCGTGGCTGTGCCCCTTGTGTCGGGCTGACAAGATCCCCACCGAGGCTCGCTTTTTGGATGCCACGTCAGAAGGGCTGGAAAAGATCCGGAAGTTTAGAAGGGTTGAAGTTTGGACCGATATCGCTTTGATTGCCACCTTAGTGGGTAACCGCCTCCAGGATTTCACCAAGGAAGATCGAAGGAGGGCTAATGAAAGGGCTCGGGATTATCAATGGGTCGAGGGTAGGTTAAAAAAGCGAAAAACGGATGGCAGTGGGGTTTGGATGGTTGTACCGCACCCGTTCATGAGGTATGACTGGGTGAAGACATCACACTAGGAAACGACGACCCATTTTGCCGTACGGATTACGGCGTCGGCAATTGACAAAAATGAATGGTACTGGTCCAATATTCGGGACGATGTGACATTCATCGTCGCAAACTGTCAAGTTTGCGCTGCTGATAAGGCGCCGATTCAGCCGCCAAGATCAATAGTGCCGACGGTAGTTGAGCGACCTTTTCAAAGGGTTAGCATGGATACTACCGATATTGTGGTGCCCCCTGGTCCTAATAGCTGTGAGTATTCCATCCTCTTGGTATTTGTCGACCATTTTTCGAAATGAATCGAGGCCTACCTATGTCGCACGCGGCAAGCCGTCGAAATCGCGCGGTATGTTAACCGTTTTCTCGGGATGCACCAGGACACAGAAGAGATTCTGACCAACAACGGGGAAGAATTCAGGGAAGAAGTGTTGAAGAATCTGGTCATACACGGTGTGGCTATGCAGAATACCGCGCCTCACATGTCACAATCCAACGGGCTGGTAGAAAACGCAAATAGGGTAATAAAGATAGCGCTGCGACGAAACATCGAGGCACGCGATCCGAGGCCTTGGCCCGATATCGTCGACCACATCTTAACGGTCCATCGCGGAACGCCCCACGAATTGACGGGCCTGAGCCCCTTTCAATTAAGGACCAATAGCGTCGCTTGCGTTTCGATACCGAGCCTCCCCGATGAGTCAATGCTGAACCGACGGCCCACAAGGGCCACGGTTCGGGACAAGGCCAAGCGACACTTAGAACTAATGGAACCATCCCTCCCCAGGCTAACCCGAAAACGCCAGAAAATGACCGAGTTGGCCCATGGTCGACAGGTCCGGGGCTACGAGGCCCGGAACGGGAACGCAGGTCCACGGCCCCAGTACAAATTAGGGGACATCGTGCAGGTGAGGAAATGTGCTCGTCAGGGCAAGCTAGCGCCACGATTCTTCGGGTGATTCCGCGTGATTGAGCTCGGACCGAACGGCGTGAACACCGTGTGGCTTGCGCCTGAGGTCTCCTGTAGTCGATCGGCTTGACCGATCGTCCGCCAGGTGTCCTATCTACGTCCCCGTCCTTCTTCCCCATCTTCGTCTTCATCTGGCTCCCCTTCCGCTGCGGAAGAAGACGACGACTGCTTATCACCTATCTGTCCTTCTTCATCTCGTTCTTCTCATATGCCCCGTCCCCGCCACTATCGCCATGAGCTTTTTCACAGAGCGAGCCCTCGGCGACCATCTCTTAACGCCATGGGGTTACATCTCGGCGATTCGGCAGGTATGCCATCCACGACTCAATCAGGATCTTCTACGGCTAGCGCAGTTCTTCTGCACTTCGGGGGTGTATGCAGCGGCGGAGTTCCGATTCGCAGGCAGCCCGTAGGCAGTGATACTGGCAGAAGCGGTGGTTGTCCATCGGTGATCAGCTCCAGGGATCAGCCACGTGTCTACGGTCGTTGGCTTCAGCGGCGACATCAGCACGGTCAATGCGCTCCGACACACAGCCATCCAGACGCACGTGAGGAAGTGGGCGCAGCAACTAGCCGGGGAGTGGAACCGCTCTCTTACGAGCCCCGGGGAGAATCTTTTCCCCACGGACGGCGTCGAGCTCGGAGGGATCCGAGCATCTCAGCTTGAGCCGGTGGTGGTGCTGCCATAACTCATCCCCTTCCGGCCTCCCCGATGAACCACTCCCAACTCTCCACTTTTGCCCTCCCATCTCTCTTCCCCTCCTTCCTGCAATCTAGTCTCCACCCTCGTCTCTCCTTTCTCCTAAAGCCACTCGCAGTCCCCCTTCTCGATCCTGGGCAGTGGAGACTCTGGCGCGAGCACTCGTCGAGTTGTCGGTGTGCCTGGTCGGAAAACGTAGCACGTGGACAAGGGACGAAGACCATCGCGAGTGGAGCGAGTATCTAGAGTGGCTGATTATCCAGGCCTGGAGAACGGACGTGGAGGGCGATCTTCTTGGATTCCTATTCGGATCTGTGTGGCCCAGTCATCGCCAGCCAATCGTCCTAGAACTCACGGTCCCGCTCGCGCAGCTAGCCGACGATCTTCCCCTGGAGATCGTCTCGCAAAGTGGCGAGAGCCCGGTCCCGCACGTTCTCACGTGGACCTTGGTGCCATACCTTCAGTGGTCCGCGTGCCTGGAGGAGCCGGGAAACGACCGCAACGCGCCCTCGCAGCGGGATTATCTGAGCCCACGAGAGATCATCGATCCCGCCTACTTTCGGGATCGAACGGCCACCGAGCACGAGGCGATAGCAGAAGAAGAAGAAGAAGCAGAAGAAGAAGAAGAAGAGGAGGAGGACGACGAGGAAGAAACTCCCGAAGAAGAGGGTTACAGTGAGCACAGTGAAGGTGAGCAGAGTGAGGCGGAGGAGGAGGAAGAAGAAGAACACGACGATCAGGAGGAGCTAGAAGAGTCCGAGTGGGAAGGATTCAAGGAGGAAGTGCTTGCGGAGGAGCTCGAGCGAACAGAAGCAGAGCAGGCGAAAGACCCCGAGGCGGTGCGCAAAAGAGAAGAGATCGTGGCCGGAAAGCGACAGCTGGAATTCGCCAGCGAAGCCAATCCGCCGACCACCGACGATCCGACCCGAGATCCCTAGCCGCTTAAGCCCGAGGATGGGGACCCAGCAGCCGAGACTTCGGCCGCACCGGCAAGGCGACGACGAAGCCGATCCCCCTCCCCCTCCACCACCGACCGTCCACCAGTTCGAGCCCGTACTAATGCGAGGCATCGGGTTTCGTCCCCGGTCGTTATCCCGCCGTCCCCTTGATCATCTCACCCTCCGCCAGACTACCACCCGCGCTGTCTTCCCCCGCAATCCCTTTCCCTTCGACACCTTCCACTTATTATATGCCACTCGTCTTATTGTCACACTCCATCCCCACCCTTCAACCCGATGCGCCCTCCCTGACTTCTACCTCCATATCCTTCTTCTAAGCGCCGCGTGGCGAGGCCACAATATGATCAAAGTTTATTGCATGATCACGGGGACCATCCCCGCATGCGAAAACCACGATCATTTCCGCGCGGCCCTCTTTCGCACCTTCACCACCCTCTATCCAGACTATCTCGCTTCCCTCCCCCATGGTGGCAATCGCTTCCCCTGTTTTCACAAGATCGTTCGATATCAAGAATTTTCGGAAACGGTGGCGAGGTTGGATAGTTTCCTGCCCCCTCTCCCGATTAACCCTCTCGCTCGCCATGCTCCCATGTATCGCCTTCCCTTCCCTCTCCCCACTGGACACTGTTGATCGGTCTATTGGTGCGCGTGCCGCTGCAACAACACGTGTAAATCCCCTCCTTGGATTGTCAATGGCCCTTCCTGAGGAATCACTAGTTAGAGCTGTGTTTGCCACACTGGACGACGTCCACACTCATTCGAACGGTAAGTGGCACAAAAGGAAGAGCTCCGCATGTCGATCGATTAAAGAGATCGACACGTGTCAACAAGCAAGCAGGAGCTTGCTAATATTGAAACCCCCTGGGCGTCACATATGTGACGAACCGATTTCTGTGACGCGCGACTTTTTGCGCGATTGCAATGAGGGGTCTTAAGCTAGGAAGGTTGGGTCAATTACGGGAGATCGGGATTGGAAGGAAATTGCATCGGTGTCCTCGCTTCTTCGTCTTTTTGCGTCGGTTCTTTTCGGATGGTTGGGTTCAGGGCCGGGTGAGTCACGGGACGATCAATTGATTGATTGACTATGTGAGCGGCGCGCCGTTGTGCGCGAATAATAAATGTTGACGTCGTTTCTTTTGTTTCGGTTTCGGACCAATCGGGGCGCGGACATCGCGCGGGAATTTTGCTTCGATTTTGAAATTTCTTTTTGAATTCTTTTTCAGATCTTGCCGATCCCTGATGGCTATCGAAATTTCGGAGTCTCTTTTCGGAGTTTGTGCTTTTTGCTTTTCGCACTAGATTGGAATTTAGAAATTTTGTAATTAGGATTTTTCTTTCTGCCGCGCAACGCCTTTTTGCTTACGCGCTTCTTCATGCACCTGCAACGGAATTCTGATTAGCCGGCGCCTTTAATCGTGTGTGTAACTGTAATTTTGGGCAGGCGCCATTGTAACTGTATCTCTCTTCTTGTTTCGACTTTTCCGCCCTTCTTCTCTTTCCTTTCGTCGAGTCTCTTCATGATCGGATCGATGCGTGGAGAGTGGCTACGTCCCCCACATCGCGATTGGGCCATGCAGAACATAGGCATTCCTCCCCTGATCTCTTTCTTAGTCCTTGCAATTCCGTGTTCTTCGGGCATGCATACACGCTATAAATTCCGGATGCGCGATTAGATATCTCTCTTAACCAGCTAAGCGGAAACTCGGGGTTGCCCGATCAGAGAGGGTCGGCACACGAGCGAAGTAAGAGGTGAGTAGAGCAGGAGTCGGGCGACCCGACTAGCTGGTGCCAAACGCGCGGGGTTGACACGGGCCACGACGGACTGTGGGCGCAGGCGAACATGACGGGTGCGGGAGGACTAAGCGGGGCGACGGCTTCGTGGGTTGGTGCGCGACGACGGACTGTCCGCATCGGAGAGAGAGAGAGAGGAAGAGGGAGCTGAGGTTGATGGACGCGGATTTGCTGTTTTTTTAATCTTTTCTCCCTCCTGTCTCGTGTATATAAATTTTGATTTCGGCTCCGCGTGATCTGCCCGTTCTGTTTTTCGGAATCTGGACTTGGTTTTTCGCTCACACCTGTCCTTCAAGTTGCGATTTCCCATCTCGGATAAGGTGCTTGAATGAATGAATGGATGAATGAATGTTATGCTTGTTTGCTTATCCTCCTACCTGATTCTTGCCTTTGCCTTTGCCTTTGATGCACTCATGAGTAGGGTAAGAATTTTGTGCAGTCGTTAATCCTGTTCTCATTTCTGCTTATCTTTTGATCGAGCTGTTGAGGTTGCTGCATTTTGCATACTCGGAAATTGCGGAATGAGTAGGTAATTGGGCAGCTGCTCGTCCAAAAACCAGCGAACGCCTTGTAGGGATGTGCGTAAGTACGACCTGCTTTGCACACTTACACGTGTCCCCGCGTAGCGATTCGCGACCAAACCACGTATAACGAGGACGACGAATGATTGGATATGGTCACTCCGCGTTAGCCACGAAGTAATTGTTTCGTGTGAACACGTGTAAGCACGACCGGGTTCGCGCGGCCTGCACGTGCTCACACGCGGTGATTGCAATCGGCACCGACCCGCCCTTAGGCATCTCGCAGCTCTGCGATGATATGATGACACGCTCTGAGAGCTCAGAGTCGTTATACGACCCGAAATACTTCACTCCTTGGATAGAGGAAAGCCTTCGACAGGGATATCCCTGTCTAACAGAAAATCGGTTGTGTCCTAGGGAATTTCATTGTGCCACCACTAGCGACCCCCGGTGCTCTGACCTCCCCACTTCACACCACACCCACTACATTATCTCCCCTGGTTTTGTCGTTATCTCCACTAACTTCCCTCCCTTCCATCTTCTTCTCCCATATCATCAACTCAGGGTCATCCCGTGAAAAGCCATAGCCCGTTACTGGCCCAGCACGCCCTGCGGAAATTGCCGACAACGCGGCAACCATAGAACCCCGGGACCGCGAGGGCCCAACCAGAACGTACGACGACCAGCGCCACGTGGCAGCAACCGACGGACTGACTCATCGGAACCACACACACCCCAAAGGGACTTTTTGACGAATCGCCACCCTCAAAACCGATGGATCGCACGATCTTGAATAACCCGCGCATGCCATCTGCCTTATGACCCGAAGTGGTCTGCCCCTCTTTGCCGAATTGCACCCGTGCCCCCGAAAAACCCTGCCACAGGAGATCTCAGTTCCGACCTGGGACTCCATCCCCACTTTCCCAAAAATCCTTGGCACACCCCCTTTTCGCACTTCCAGGCCCACATCCTACTCCGATCAGGAAGTCGCGCTGGGCGTGAGGTTGGGCGTCACAGTATTACGCCTACCGGGCCACGGGATTTGTCCGACGAACCCGTTTCGAAGCTGAGCGCCGAGAACACAGCCTCCGGCTGAGGCCCTCTTCGTCAGACTCTGAGGCCTGTGAAACCCGCAGATGACAGGTGTTGGAGCAGAGAGACAGTCATTCCTTTCCCCTTTACATAGAGTACGAGCCCACCCCAAGCGACGGGCCCGATGGAACTAGCCATCCGGCCCCGACAAGCACGGATCAGAAACCTGGCCCTCCACCGAGCCACTTGCACTCTTGCCTCTGAAACTTGATGCTGGAGATCTCAGTTCCAACCTGGGACTCCACCCCACTTTCCTAAAATCCTTGGCACACCCGTTTTACGCACTTCCGTGCCCTCTCGCTCCGAAACAGGAATTTACGCTGGGCATGAGGTTCGGCGTCATAGCGCAGCGCTTCAACGGAGTGCCTCTCCACCCCCCCCTTTGCGGAGTCCACTGCTTCTTTTCCTTCTCAGTAAGGAAAGGCATGTGCCTCTGTCAGATTTTTTTTTGAGCTGGGCGAGGTACTGGTGGGCTATACTTTCCTCAGAAGGAAAACTCCCCTTTGCCACACCTACTTTCGAAACACCGAGGGCTATACTTACCTGGCCGGGGCACATCCGTGATCATGAAGGGGGATGACCTACAATTGGCGCCTTCATTGCACTAGGAAGGTGCCTGTCCTAAGTCACACCCACTGGGTGTTCCTACGACATAATTTGTGGTAGGGGCGTACACGTATGCGTGATTATTAAAAAGAAAAAAAAAGAAACAGCCAGGGCTTTCAATATGCACGTTAGGAACTTGTTACACTACTCTCGCCAGGTGCGAAACGAGGGTGTGAATCTTCTCCTTGAACATGGAAAGATACACCACCATGATTTTTGTCTTTTGTGCATGTCTAGAGTAGTGGAGCAAGGCCCTTGTAATCGCCCGGTTTTCTTTCTTTTTTTTTTTTTTTTTTCTGGGCCGTTTCGGAAGGTCCTTTCTTTTTTTTATTTTTTTATTTTTTTTAAAAGCTATATTCTTCTCTTTATTTTTCTTTTTTCTTCCTTCCTTCCCCCTCCTCCTATTTTTGTTTTTTTTTTTTTCTGGGCCGTAGATTACCTTGATTGATGGGGGGATCAGAATAGAGGAAGGTGGGACCTCGGAATGGCCGGTCACCTGTGGATACATGTCTAGAGTAGTGGAGCTGTCTCTTATACACATCTAGATGTGTATAAGAGACAGCTCCACATTCACATGCATGCATTCGTCAACCCCACGCAAAACAACAAAACGGAAGAAAAAATATTGTTTATTTTTGAAAGAGAAGAGTCATCGGC